CAGAATTGCTGAAGGTAATTCAAAAGACAAATGAATGAACGACGCTAACGACTGAACTGCAACAGCTACAGTCTCACAGGTACGAATGTTTAATTTACTCCTCTCTGAGAACACATTGTTAAATATGAATGAAAATAGCCTACGTGTGTAGCTACTGCGAGCGCGACTGTAATAAGATGGTTCATGACCATGACAGCTGCTTGCGCAGTAAACTCTTTCGACTTGACGTCTCTCATGAAGCGTAAATGTTCCGATGAAAATGCTTAATTAGAGATGTTACGGTTTATTTTAATGTCGTTGCGCTGGGGAAAGCGTTGCGCTAAAGGACGTATACACATAACGTTAGTAGCCTACAGAAAATGGGAAGCGACTGCAGCACGTCTATAGCGCAACCCTGGACGGCAGAGGCTTTTTCCATAAAGAGTCATACTCCATTCTAAAGATGTCCATCATATATAGGGCCTATGCCTTAAGACACGAATGATGCTGCACGGGTCTACTCCATCTAATATTTTGTCAGGTAACCTGATATGTGCTATATGTGGTGCGACTAAATTACCCGTTTTTAGGTTAGACAAATGATCGTCATTTAAGCGGTAAGATCACGTAGAAATAGGTTTCACGTTGTTTCACTTTGAATATGAGCAGATCACAAGAATTACAAATATATTTCAAAATTCTAAATTTTAAAGGGGTCATGAAATGCATTTTCAGTTCTTTACCTAGGCCTACTGTATATTTCTAGAGGTTAGCTTATAAAGTTTGCACTCACGGGGCGTTACCTTTTTCAAAAATGCAAGTAAATGCCCAATGCTGTGATTGGCGAACTTCATCGTGCCTTATCCACGCTCTCCTCAATGCCATGCCTGACGTGTTTTGTTGCTGGAGATGGCCAGCACTGTATGTGGCCAGAGCCTATATGTGTTTGAGTCTGAGTCAGATCCCAAGGCAGAAGAAAGTGAACCATGAACCAGTGCAACCACAGTTGCAACAGTCTGCTTCAGCATGGTAATTGTGCTTGCTATAATCTATTATCTGTATATAAAACTTATTATTATAACTGGCATATGGCAAAACTATTATTGCTAAACTGGCATCATGTTGGGAATAATTAAAAAAAAGAGCCTGCTGTGAAATGAGACAAATGAAAACATTCTCATTCGTTTGGGTTAGTTCATCTAAAATGAAAATTCGGTCTTCAGTTACTCACCCTCATTCATTGCAAAACTGTAAGACGTTCGTTCATCTAAGGAACACAAAGTGAAGATAATTTTAATGAAATGAGAGATTTGTTCCGCTGTTAAAAATTTATTCACCCAAAACTTGTAATGAGATAAAAAAAATAAATCCATGTGAATCAAGCAGTTTAATCCAAGTCTTATGAAGAGACATGCATTTATATAATGAACAGATTTAATGTCGGCTTTTACTCACATTTGTTTTTATGAAGAAGATGGAGAGAATGAATTTCACCAGGTTTTTGCCAGAGAAGAATAAGAGATGAGAGACAGTGTAGGATCCACTGACCTTGTGTCATACCTGCATAGACATAATGACGTCACAGACTAGCTAACCCTATGAGAGAACAGTGTTGTTTTGGTTGATCAAGTGAGTCAGATTCTGACTGTATGAGCCACATTTAAAGCCATACACACAACTGTGACCACACATTGAATTCAAGCTGGAACATTGTTCACCCCTTAATAATCCTGGCATGTTTGAGAACAGTAGAAGTATGTCTTTAGTCAAATGTAAGCCAAATGCGTGCATATGTGCAGTTTCATTTCATTTGCGTTGCATATGGCTGGTCAGGAATTATGAATGAGACATTCCTTGGAGTTTCAATTGTTTATGTAAAGCGGCTGCTGCATACCCTTATGTAGAAAATTCAAACAAATAATTCAATCCATACACATGTCTCTAAACTGACAGGAATGCTGCAATACTTTTAATTAGTTCTGACCTCAGTCAGACACGCACACATACGCACACATACACACAGTTAAATGGTTAAACGGGACACAGTTCTGATCTTACTGCATACAAATGGGCCTCTGTCTGGGCCTGGAAACATTCACAGAAATGTACGGAAATGTCTGACTGTATGGAATCTGAGCATGCATGAGAGGGAAATAAAGAGGCCAGCTGCACTAATAGACGTCGCTTTCAACTGGAAACTTTCTTGATGCAACCGCTCTGTTTTTAAACGTGTTTGAGCACCATGTATTAATCTTACAATGTATTTTCACATTTCTAATTAGGTCAATGACATATATATATTATATACAGTATATATAGTTATATAGTATATATAGTTTATATATATTTTTTCATGCAGACCAAAATAATGCATTTATTGCATGCAATGATTTCAATACATCTCTTCTAAGATTAATATGTTTCAAACATGTTTGACGTGTCAAAATCCAGCCGACAGCCTAATCCCCAAACATAGTAAACTAAGTAAAAAGAATAAAGCACATGTCATTGCAGTCAGGAGCATCATGTTGTAGACAATATTGACACCATGCACTTGTGGCTGGTAGTATTTTTAAAGTCAAGGATCAAGTGCCCATCTAATGTGTACATTAATCACCACATTAATCACCTTAATGGTGACTTCAAACAGACTTCAGCAACTTTTGTAGACACACCGTTTGTTGGGTGTTGCTGGGATTATACCAGCATCCAAAAGACGACATATGCTGGTCATCTAGCATGCCAGCATCCCATGCTGTGGACCAACATAACAGCACCAGCATCCCAAGCTGGTCCATGATGACAGAATATTCAATTTTTCCTTTAGATATTGTGTGTAGGCTTATTCTTTCACTGTGTTAGACTTTTTTTTGAAGGAGTTTCGCATAGATGTCAGCTGTTTTTGTCATGTAACAAGAAAGCCATTGACTGTCCAATTAATAACACATCTCTCCTGGATACCTCTTGAATAAAGTGTGAGCAATAATATTATTAAAATTAATGTGTGAAAAAATCAGCAAAGGGCCAGAAGCAATTTGTAAATGGTAAATGTAAAAATCCTGTTCTCTCTCTCTCTCTCTCACACACACACACACACTTTTTCAAGGGAAAATTCATTTCCTGATAACACAGCAACTGTACATGTTAAAACACATTGACACATGTTGAACAAACAGAAACTGCCTGAAGGAAAAGATCAAATCAGATTTTTCCAGGAACAGCAGAGGCAGACGGACATACTCATTTTCCTGATAAAACTTTTTAATTTTTTTTAATTTTTGTTGGCCTGTTATGCTCTTGATGATAAAACATGTTATAACAGCTCTTAAAAATTACAGACTTGAAAATGACAAAATTAGACCCTTAAAAGGATTTCCACTTCATCTTGATAGAATAATATATGCTCTTTTTTTAAACAAATGAAATACATTTTAGATTATCTGATGAAATTTTTGAAAACAGTACGCTAACAATGTCTTTCTAGTTCACTAAAATTTAAAATAGTTTCAGAATCCAGTAACGGATGAAGCCATTTGCATGAGTGGCTCAAAATGGAACAACTCAACAAGACCTCATGACCAAACTTAGGTATTATACATAAAGTTTGGGTCTAGAGAGATGGCTGTACCTATGGTACAACTGCGTTTTAGTGGCACGTAAAAAAAAAAGAAAAAAAAAGATAAAGATAAATCTAAGATTGCGAGATTAAAGTCATAATATTTTGACATTAAAGTCAAAATTATGAGAATTAAGTTATAGCAATATGAGATTGAAGTCTTAATATATATATATTAAATTTTATTTTATTATTATTATTTTTTTATTTTTTTGCCGTTTTTCACTTTATTTTGATAGGAAAGATCCGTGTTGACAGAAAGCGAAGTGGGAGAGAGAGGGGCCGGGATCGGGAAAGGTCCTCAAGCTGGGATTCGAACTCGGGAGCGCAATGGCACTGTGTGTCGACGCACTGCCCACAAGGTTATCGGCGCCGAAAAGTCTTAATATTTTAAGAATAAAATCGTAGCATTATGAGATTAATGGCATAGTATTTTGAGCATAAAGGTCAAAATCACAAACATTGTTGGCGCTACGACGGGGAATATTTTTAGAATGTGGTATATTGCGTGAATAAAGTTAATTATTGTAAAAATTCCGCTCTGCAAAAAAGTCTGTGGCATCCAACCGTTTATTCTTTATACGTTTAACATTAAAAACAGTGATAAAACAGTTTGTTTCATTATGCTGTACTGTTTCTGTCAACATGCCTTCTGATGCTTTCATTCTTCTGATGCCTTTATTCATGCCTTAATTCATGTTTATTTTGTGAAGAGGAAAAGATTAAATTTTTGTCTTTTGCCTTTATTATAATACAACAGTGGAGTGCAGACAGGAAGCGAAGTGGGAAGGGGGGGGGGGGTGGAGTATCGGGAAAAAATTATACATTAAAATATATTAAAATAGAAAGCCATTATTTTAAATTGTAATAATATTTGACAATATTACTTGTTTTGCATTTTTGATCAAATAAATGTAACCTTGATGAGCATAAGAGGCCTCTTTAAAAAAACAACATTAAAAACCTTACTTTTGAATGGGTGTGTAATTCTGCTGCAGAAAGTCAGCGACACTATTCAGAGCGCTACAACTTCCGTTACTGTGTACAAAATGAAGTGGAATACATTTGTTTCATGGTGCAAGAAGCACAGTATAAAGATCCAATATAAGTCTTAAGTATAGTATAATGTCCAATAGTGCACATTTCGACAGGAACTTCTTCAGCAGGGCAAGGCCTTTTCTGTCTTTAAAATGTATCTATTAACAATATCTGCAGATTGCTGGAAGTAGATTTGAGAATCTTATATAAGACAGCTCTCTTGCCCACTTTAGTATCAGCCAGGCACGTAGGAGAGCTCCATATATTGTCGACCCACTCCCCTTTCACTGAGTTCATTGCAAGGTGTGGCTCAGAATGGCTTAGAAGTCACTCTGTGACTGAATGCGGAATTTATATTTGACACCAACTTATGTTTACTCTTTTGGCTACCTGGGTTCAATTCCCAGATAATTCATGAACTGATAAAATGTATACAAATGATGTCAAATGTATAAAAGATCATACATGTTAAATGTTATTTTGCTTTTTATCCCAGTAACATCAGAGGCTACATGCCCTCTGCCCTTTATGTGTTTTGCACATTTACTTGGACAGAATTTGAGATTTCAGACGGTGTCGGGAGTTATTTGTGTGTCTCTAAGCAGAGATTTTCACATTGGATCATCAAAGCTATAGCATTGGCATACAAGTGTGCAGGAAAGGAAGCCCCTCCTATAGAGTGGTATGTGTCAAGTGACTTAACCAAAAGAAAATGTCTGGTTACCCAGTGTAACCTTGGTTCTCTGAAGGAAAGGAGTGAGACAGTCCAGGGGTGCCCCCCAATTCCACTCATATTTGAGAGCTGGGGCGCATTAAAGGGGTCATATGATGTTGCTAAAAAGAACATTATTTTGTGTATTTGGTGAAATGTGTTTATGCGGGCTAAGGTTAAAAAAACACATTATTTTCCACATACTGTACATTATTGTTTCTCCTCTATGCCCCGCCTTTCTGAAACGCGTCGATTTTTACAAAGCTCATCGGTCTGAAAAGTGAGCTAATGTGATCGGACAAACGACAAACAACATGCGCAACTCTACACTGCTCAAAACTCGCGTTTGAATCATCAGTTGCAAATAGATCTTCTTTATGCACCAAGAGCTTGTAACACTCCAAAGAGGAAGGAAAAATTGAAATCGCATCATATGACCCCTTTAGGATAGCCAAAGGCCCCTGGGCTACAGCATTACAGTAGGCCCCCCCGACCCCAGAAAACCTATTTTTTTCTTTTTTAAAGCTTCCTAACAATAATTTGTCAAATATTTTTTTGTCTTGTTAATATGTCAGTTAACATTCACAACACTGTTCTGTGTAAAATGTGAATATAAGCGAATATGCAAATTCACTCTTTGCAAAAAGGTGGCGCTTGTGGAACAGCAGAATTATATAGCCGTTACATAAAGTAAACACTATGTTATTACTGGCATTATACAGAGGTAATATGAAAGGAAAATGCCATCAAAACTTTCCTGGCTGAAATGTGAGTTTACAGGTATGATTTAAACACCATAAATCACACAAAATATGAATTATTCATCATCAGTAGAGCAAAACTGTGGGTTATTTGGTGATTGCTAACTGTTTTTATTTTGAAACATTACATGCTCACGTTTAATTAGTTAAATCACAGCCGTATAAAGTTGAATGATCAAATTCCTATTTTTCCATCCCCAGATTTAAAATGGAGACTTTGAGACCCGGATTTAAAATTTACAATATTTATGGAACACAGATGACACACAGATTACATCCAAGCAAGATACTGAACTTTCACTGTATGACGTTACAGAACATTGTCCGGTGTTCTGTCGATATGTGCTACCCTGTCAGATTTTGCTACCTCCCATTAAAACAGCGGGTAGTACAATTCGACAACGAAAAATGCTACCTGTCAAATTATGGTTTATTAATGTCTACACCTACCCCAACCCTAAACCTACCCTTACAGTAATGCAAATACAGTAATTATGTGTTATATTCACGGTTGTGGCTAGAAGGGATACAGCTACCGGAAACCAACAATAAATATTTTTTTCTACCTATTAGATTGTGTTTTATTAAAGTCTACACCTACCCCAACCCTAAACCTACCCTTACAGTAATGCAGATACATTAAATATTGTTGTTCACACAGCAGTGTTGTGTTTCTGTTAATCTGCGTGTTGACATTAAGATACTCGCGTGCTGCGGTTATTTACTAGCGAATGCACTGTACATTCCGCTTACAGTATATCGAAGGAACACATGGAACATACCAACTATACAAACTGTGTGGGGGGAACCTAAACTGAGCCATTCACTATATAGGCTACTACAACCAGGGCATCGCTAAAAATGAGTGTGTGAGTTTGTTTACAGAGCTCTGTTGTCACTGCTGCAAACTCCCATATAAATAATTATTCAAAAAATATAATTTCCCTGCAGCCAGTGGGCCCCCTTTCCAGTGTAGGCCCCTGGGCGTCAGCCCCTTGAAGCTCGTGCATTAATGCGCCCCTGTTCAGAGCATATGAATCTAGGTATGAATGGACTGCTAGCCAGCCTTATAGTAAGTTGGGGATATTCAGCAGCCAATTCCCGATTCCCTGCTGAAGGCAGGTCAATGATCATCAAAAAATGTTACATTTTGTATTTGAGAGACCCAGTGCACTTTAAAATCCTGTAACTCCTGAACGGAACTTCAGAACTTTACAAAATTAAGCACGTGACATAGGCAATAGGTAAAACCCAACATACACTTACAAGTACATTACTACTGTAATATTTAACATGTCTGGCTGACCTTTTGCGCAAGACCTATCAAGTCCGGTGATGCAAGGCCTCTGCACCACAGTACATCAACTTCACCTGCCTTTAGTAACCGAGAGGCACGGATGAATTTCAATGGTAGACACCAGATTGATTAAACTTTATTATTTCTTTAAAATACTTAATCTCCATCTCATCTGAGTTTTGGAGTAATTCATAGTCTGCTCATGGGTAGCATATGATAGTATGCAATTAAAATAGGTAAAGATGGTGCTTGCTGAATGTAATTTGTGACTTTCATGTTTCCTTCTGACCTTAGGTGGGTGAGGAGAAAAATGACATCTTGTTTTACACTAGGTTGATCTCGGGAAAAATATACTTTGGATACTTTGTAGAGAACTGAAGCTGTAACAACTAATTGATAAAATGCAATGCAACAGCAAAATCCATCCATCCATCCATCCATCCATCCATCCATCAGGTATACCTGCACAAGTAATTAAAAAGCTCAGGTGCATGTATAAAAATATACATGCCTAATTTTAATTGAATGTATTTGTTTCTCTCTGCAGGAGAAGAAATGAGAAGGAACAGTTGAGCATATGATTTCAACAAGCAACCACAGCCATAGGCAGTTTCACTATAAGACAGACTGTCACTATGGTGCCTCTACTCCAACTCTTTCTTCTAATGCCTCTAATTAAGCCAATCACAAATCATGTCCATGGAAACTTTCTTTCTTCTCCAACCACTCATTCAAATCACAGCCTGTTTTCTCACACTTACATCCTTGTCAGAAAAACTGATCACAGATTGGCAGCCAATGCTGCGTTAGAAACTGTGAGACCGTTTCTCCATGGCTTCTATCAGAAAAGTGTCATTAAATCAAGTGGAGATTCAAACGAATGGACAGAAAGCAGAAATACTGAGGACACACTGTCAGAAAAAACATCACATACTGACATAACTGGGTCAAGAGGTATATTTTTATTATCACCCAAAAACAGAGTCAAAAGAGGTCCTTCCCAAAATGCCAGAATACCACAAGATGCTGCTGGAAAAGAAAAGGAGACTGCTGATGAGACAGAGTCAATGACAGAAGAACCAGTTGCTGAATTCGAAGAGAAAGACTTGTCAACAGTTGGGTCAGGTGATACGTTAATACCCAGAGAAATGGGCTTCGTTGGATCATCAACAGAGGCAATATCATCTCTTGATAAAAAGCATACCCAGTACAGACCTCAAGTTCAGACTGCTTATAGTGTGCTGGCTAGTTTGGCCACAGTACAAACAAATCCAACAATCAACCCTTCACTCGGGAAGGGTTCTACAACTTCACCACCTATTGAAAAGCCTGTATCCACTTCCAGTAGGATTAGCCAACTGGACGCCAACAGGACTGAACTGGAAATAGGTAGAGTATAGATGTAGTAATGCTGCATTCACCTAAATAAGTGAAATTAAAAATGGCACCTTTGAGATTCTACTCTTTTACTCAATCACTTGTTTCTCGAGCAACAATAGCGAAATAGTTCACTATATTATTTTACTACTTTATTCTGGTAAAATTGTAATTAAAAAGATTTTTATTTAACAATACCTGCACAAGTAATTAAAAAGCTCAGGTGCATGTATAAAAATATACATGCCTAATTTTAATTGAATGTATTTGTTTCTCTCTGCAGGAGAAGAAATGAGAAGGAACAGTTGAGCATATGATTTCAACAAGCAACCACAGCCATAGGCAGTTTCACTATAAGACAGACTGTCACTATGGTGCCTCTACTCCAACTCTTTCTTCTAATGCCTCTAATTAAGCCAATCACAAATCATGTCCATGGAAACTTTCTTTCTTCTCCAACCACTCATTCAAATCACAGCCTGTTTTCTCACACTTACATCCTTGTCAGAAAAACTGATCACAGATTGGCAGCCAATGCTGCGTTAGAAACTGTGAGACCGTTTCTCCATGGCTTCTATCAGAAAAGTGTCATTAAATCAAGTGGAGATTCAAACGAATGGACAGAAAGCAGAAATACTGAGGACACACTGTCAGAAAAAACATCACATACTGACATAACTGGGTCAAGAGGTATATTTTTATTATCACCCAAAAACAGAGTCAAAAGAGGTCCTTCCCAAAATGCCAGAATACCACAAGATGCTGCTGGAAAAGAAAAGGAGACTGCTGATGAGACAGAGTCAATGACAGAAGAACCAGTTGCTGAATTCGAAGAGAAAGACTTGTCAACAGTTGGGTCAGGTGATACGTTAATACCCAGAGAAATGGGCTTCGTTGGATCATCAACAGAGGCAATATCATCTCTTGATAAAAAGCATACCCAGTACAGACCTCAAGTTCAGACTGCTTATAGTGTGCTGGCTAGTTTGGCCACAGTACAAACAAATCCAACAATCAACCCTTCACTCGGGAAGGGTTCTACAACTTCACCACCTATTGAAAAGCCTGTATCCACTTCCAGTAGGATTAGCCAACTGGACGCCAACAGGACTGAACTGGAAATAGGTAGAGTATAGATGTAGTAATGCTGCATTCACCTAAATAAGTGAAATTAAAAATGGCACCTTTGAGATTCTACTCTTTTACTCAATCACTTGTTTCTCGAGCAACAATAGCGAAATAGTTCACTATATTATTTTACTACTTTATTCTGGTAAAATTGTAATTAAAAAGATTTTTATTTAACATATTTTTTTTCTCTAGTTGTAAACTCATACAGTAATTATAATAGTTCTGTCGTGACTTATGTCGTGAAAACTAGAGAAAAACTGTAAAAATAAAAATAAACTTTGATTTTGATGTTACTGCACCATTCCTCAAATTTTCTTTTGTTTATCAGGTAGGTTTGGGATAACCACTCCAGCTAAAATTCAGCCAAGGCAGTTTACCACTTTACAGTCACATACTGAAGCCACCTCTCTTAGCACAAGCACAACCAATCTACAACTAGAGGCACCATCACTGGGAGTGGACATCATTACTTCCAACTATTCACAACCAAAAAGCACTTCACACTCAACAAAATCAGCAAAAATACCCAATGACCAGTCAAAAGAGCCAGGAACGAAAGGAACAGTGACCGATATAAAGAACACTAAAGGTATGCTTTGTCTGAATAAAGAAAAAAAAATGGTTAATTTGAATCTTGTTCTTTCGTAACATTTGTAACAAAATATAACATTTTTGATTTGATTGTGGCTCTGTTTACACTTGTGATCAGATAATTTATGTACTTATCATACTTAAGACATACTTAAAATTATACTTATAAGTATACCTGGCTTATTCTGACAACTATACAGAAAGTATACTTGGCCTATACTTGTATCTTTTGATCAAGATATACTTAAGAAAAGTATTATTAAGTATTCAGTATACCTGGTTATTAAACACTTTTTTCCCCCACTTCTTTGAGGTGGCACTGCAGTTTTATAAACGTACATGTCAGCTTTGTGGTGGAATATTTATTAATTTAACTTAAGTAAAGTTCAAGTATATTTTAATTTAAGTAGCAAGTATACTAATATTAGCGCACTAGTAGTATACATACTAGTATGTGTTCTATTTTAATGTTTCTTGAGAGTAAATTGGCTTGAGAAAAAAACTGCTTTAAGTGTAACAGCAGTAAATTTTACATCTATATATTTTTATAATTTTGTAACTGTACTTTAAGTTAACTTATATACAGTATTGTTAGTTTACCAAGTGAATATTTCTAATCGATTTTTTTAGTTTACGAATGTACACTTTGAAGATTACTCTCAGTAAACTGTTATTTGAATAGTTTTTCATACTGCAAGTGTACTTGTTTTATCTAAGCATCTAAGCATAAAACAACATTTTACATATATCTGCATTCAGTGTCTGCATTGTAAGTTCATTAATACTTCATTAAAATTGCATATAACCTACTATATACAGTACCAATTAACTGTCCAGTGTGCGATGGCAGTGCTACCTTATCTAACTCTGTGCTATGAACAAAAGTTTGGGAGATGAGTGATACTTGTTAATATGTTGTCTGTTAATGTTACTGGCTTATGGATAATTTTACTGAACACATTTTCTAAATTGGTCGGCATGTTCTTCCTGTTTCCTTTGGTTTCCCCCCACAATCCAAATACATGCAGGATAGGTGTCTGTCTGTAGGTGGGAATGTGTGTGTCTGGTATTGTGACCTAGTGAGTAAAATGGCTTATTGAAAAAGAAAAAAATTCCACACGGGACAGAAGAGAGGGTTGTCAGTGGGGACAGCAACTGTTTGGTTACCCATATTCTTCTGTATTCAACAGGAGTTTAACAGGGTTAAAACAACATGAGGTTGAGTGAATAATGACAAAATTCCTTTAAATGTATATGAGCATTCAGTTGTCCAATTCACATTAATCAGATGTCAGATTTATTTTGTCAAAATTGTTACATCAACAAACAAATTTTACTAATCGCAAAACAATGCTCAAATCTGTGTAAGACGGCAATTTAGGAATTTTGATTCAGAACTATGTATTGTATATTGTTTTATAAAAAATGGTCTGAAAATGATTGCATTGTTGTATGTAGTTTATGTTTACATTTATTCATTTGACAGGCGTTTTTATCCAAAGCGACTTACATTGCATTCAAGGTATACAATAGGAATCAAACCCATGACACTGGCGTTGCTAGCACACTGCACTATTGTTTCTGCTAAGGAAAGCCTATGTGCTTGGTTTATGTTATGCATTTTACACAATTATCTCAATAATATTTCCTTTCTCTCTTTTGCTTTTCACAGACATACCCACTTTTCTAAGGACTGCCTCCCCTCACCCGACTGGACATGGACATTTTCTATTCTCAGAAAATGATGGAAGATTTACAGAGAAGGACCAGTCAGTCTCACAGGGAATAGTCCCATCTCTGAAGTCAAACCCTGCCTCTCCAACCTATGCCCTACCCAAGGACCCCTGTGCTTCTGGTGTGGGTCCCTGTGTTTTTTCCAAAGATCAATACAACGATGATAAATATGGCACAACAAATGGGAGCTTTTTAGTGTGGGCAGACTTAAAACGCACACTTTCATTTGCATGGGAGCTGCATGTATTTGGTTCTGCTGCACTTTTCCTTCTGCTGACTGCTGGCTCAGCCCTCGGTTTAGCATTATCTCCCAGCTTGAACTGCCCTCACCGTGGTGAACTGATACTCACCAATAGTCTCTTGCTAGTTGCAGGTGCAGTTAGAGCAGGCCACTTCTTGCTCGACCCATATGGGACTCGGCTCCTCCTGCCACCTCCTGTCGTAATAGCTTTATACACTCTGCCGTTACCGCTGTTAATTCTGGCACAGGCTGCATTAGTGATACTGGTACTAAAAGAGACAGGTGTAACCTGGCTTCCACCAACACTTCAGCGTCCCCCTCTTTTAGGAGTGTTAGCTGTTTTCCAATGCACTCTCCTACTTGCTGCAGACTTACTTTCCCCTGCGCTTTCGCCTGCTGTTCCCATTGTCCTCCAGAGCCTCATGCTGACTGCAGGCCTTGTACTGTGTTTAGGCTACCTTTTCTTGGCACTGCCACGCTTCTCTCACACACAAGCAGCTCGGGCAGGGAATAAGGGTACGGGTGAAGGAAAGGTGCGGGTTTTAGCACGGGTACTGGCAGTGTGCGCTCTTCTTGGGGCGCTGTGCTGTCTGTTGCACATTTATGCCTGCTTGTGGCTGTATGGACTTCTAGGAGACTGGAGGCGCTTTCGTTGGGCATGGTGGCTCTGTCAGTTCTGGGTACGACTGTTGGAGCTTGCCTGGGCTTTCTGCCTGCTTCTGATGTCTTCCTGGGTCTTCTGGAGACCCAATGGAGGAGCACCAAGACAGGAAGGAGCTGCCACAGAAAGCTTGGCCTCACCCTCCCAATCATCAGACTCTACCAGCAGACATACTTGCTGGGCGAAGATTGTGCAGAGCCTCAAGGTAAGGCAACAAAGGAAATCTGAAAGCAATGGGATTGCAGGGTCAAATAGTGGTGCAGTGGCCGGAAAGTTGCCTAATAACTGGGCAGGACAGGAGCTATCAGGGGCAGACAATTAAGGGGTGAAAGTTTGTTCCAGCCACTGCGACCGCCATCACCTCCTCCATCTCCGGACCTGTGGATGCGACGGAATAGTGACCCCCAAATCACGCTGTCATTGAGCAGTGATGAACACACATTGCTCACAGAGTCCTCCGCAGGTCTGGATCGCTCCATTCCTAGTGCTGTGCCCAGCCGACAAGTCACAGCCCCCCCTACACCCACTCATCAGGGCTTCCGTTGGGTCTCTGAGGCACAAGTGCCTTCCTCTTTGTCCTGCCCGGTCTCACTGCACCCTTCCCCAAGCACAAGTCATGCCCTTGTGCCCAGCGCAGAAAACACAAGGCCGTTTCTAACCCCTGACCTTGAAAGTTTGTAATCAAATACCAGAGGGGGGCAAAGTTACCTGAAAGTCACTCGAAATGATGACTCAGCCAGTGTCAGCAGTGACATTATTGACCTTTGAACATGTTATGACTCACAGCAACTCCAGATTATAACACATTCACATTCTCCAAAAAGTAGAGATTATACATTTAATAATGCACCCTTCCACAAGCACAAGCCGTGACCTCGTGCCCAGTGCAGAAAACACAAGGCCGTTTCTAACCCCTGACCTTGACAGTTCACTATCAAATACCAGAGGGGGGCAAAGTTACTTGAAAGTCGCTCGAAATGATGACTCAGCCAGTATCAGCAGTGACATTATTGACCTTTGAACATGTTATGACGCACAGCAACTCCAGATTACAATGCATTCACATTCTCTAAAAAGTAGAGATTATACATTTAATCCTGACTTGCAGTTTAATTGCTGTATAATGGCACTTAAAGGGGAGGAGGAACATACTGTTAAGTGGCTTCATCAGATTTTATTAAATGGACTGAAATGTTAAGTGCAGTAAGCACTGGAAATATAAGTTTTTCCTTTAAAAGTCTTGTTTACAGTAATGCACATACTATAGAAGTCTATGGGGCAAAGCATACCAGAGGCAGAAATCTGCAGCTTGTATTCGCTATTATTAATGTTTTCGTACAAAATGTGTGTTATTTGATCTGTAAACTTGTCGTTTTAGTGGTGGGATCACTATTTTAGGCAAAATAACCTCTAGATGTGAATTAACGTAATTTCTGTTGGTGTAGTTGCTCTACGTAAAATACTTTGGCAAAAAGTTAGTAGTCTCCTGTTGTCACATGTTATATTTAAGTTTTGTGGCTGTACTTTGCAGTAGTGTGCATATTTTTATGTTTATTCTGGTGCAGTGCCTTGTCCCATAGAGCAACCTAAGTGCTACCTTAGCATGCATTGTGAGAGCTGTGTCTGGACAGTGTTTTTTCCCCCTGTTGCACTGCATTTGAATAGAAATTATACTGGATGTGCCAGAACATGTTGACTTTCTGGCTCATGCTTTGTACTTCCAGTTTATTCCTGCAATGCAGCATACCTAAAACATACTATTCTCACAACTGGAGTTATGTTTAGTAAAATAATTTTGATATAAATGACTTGTCAGCAAAGCAGATCAGAATTTGGTGGTTGGTATATTCAGCGGTTTAGTCAAAATTTCAACACAGCTGGATGCTCAACTCATAACTACTTTATTCGATACAGAAGAACTCTTATGTGAGCAATAAATTATAAAAAGCTGTGAGTATAACTTAAACAGATTATGTATATACTATATTTTTGTTTGTAAATAATGATGTATTCTGATTACATTTAATGCATTTACTGTGAATGACAATCTTTCCTACTGCAAACATATACTGATCCTGGCAGAATAAGGACTAAAGATACACTAGATTTTTCCAGGCATATCTGTCTGTAGGACAATAAAACAGGTACACATCCTGAGAAATGTTAATGTGCACCATTTAAGTGTGACATGAAAGGAACATGATTCTATGCTTTGTACATTTTCTTGTTGTTTAGTTGAAAAGTTTTGTTCCTCTCCCTTTCATTTTTACAATGGCAAGGAACGGTTTTAAAATTAATTTTATATTTGCAAATAAACAGGATGTTGTATATAGAGATTCCAGTCAGAGGTTGATGAGCAAGTTTTTGTTTAGTGGTTTCAGTTGCCTATTCTTTGTCAGTCACTGAAGACTATATAGCTGTATTAACATTTGCATAGGTTTCCCTCTTACAAAATAAATAAATAAAAATCAGTGCCATAGCAGAAAACAAACACTTTGACTTAACCAGGCACTATCTGTGCTTGTATTGTACTGTGCCATATTTTGACTGAATTATTTTCTTTCTTTCTTTTTATTGTTTTCAGCTAAAGTCTGCTTTCTATGCTAATTGGACTTTATAGAATGCACTGTTTGCATGGTACAATTGACATTGAGCTTTTGCCAGTTGTGGAAAGCAGGCATGATATTTCTGATCACAGCAGCAGTAATTCATCAAATGATGCTCAAATAATGTAGAAGCACATTATAACTGGGCAAGCCATCACACATGGTAAACTGTCCGGCACAATTTGGCCATTTTAAAGAGATGATTCAGGACCCTGGACTGCAGTAGTGGAGTATTGCTGTACAGTCCCAGCAAATTATGCAGTAGTGTGTCGTATCCACCACAACCTAATACTCAGAACTGGCCTGCAAGCTGGGGAATTGCACCAGACATGTTTACACCATTTCCTTATTTGTAATTTTTTTGTGGGTCCTAGAATAAAGCAGACAGTGCATTAAAAACAAAACATGGGCACTAGTCATTCTTACTGAATTTTCCCCCTGAATTTTTTACTTTTATTTATTTAGTCCCAATGCATTTTTGTGTGGTCAAGTTAGCTTTTGAATAAAACAAAGAAAAGAGCTGTCACCAACATACTGTACTGAATATGATAAGTAACTTTTTGATGGGACAGTTTACACACTGTTATTTTAATTATATTTCATGAAACTTTAATCATCTAAATAAGCACCACTGTCTTTGAAATTTGTGATAAGCCCGATCTTTCACAATGTTTTTATATAAAAACACATTTTCCACTTTTAGCAGAAATGTTCAGATTAATGCTGAAATTATAGTTTTCTTTATTGCATATTACACTGGGATACAGAAACGTATAACTGGAATATATTTTAATATAAAATATTAATATTCAGATTGATTTTTTTTATTCAGTGTTAATTCTGGTGCAAGACCCAGAACTCAAAAATTCCCAGAACTAAAAATTCTATAAAAAAACAAACAAACTAAATCAAATCTCAGTGCGGAACTTGACAGTGGTGTTCTTCATCTTCTGTTTGTAGACCTCATCAAACTGTTCATTTTGTGCCACAGTGAAATGACTTTTCCAGTCTCCAACTTTACCTTTTGGAACAAAAAGATGATAAAAGCAATTATTTTACCTAAGGTATTTTTTTTTCTGACAGAATTCAAAAGGACTAAATTAGATCAGTTGTTTATAAACCTTTTCTCATGAAGGGTGAGATCTTGAAGTCCATGACTGGGATAGTGGAATAGTTGGTCATCTTGTTCTGTTTCATGGCATCAAACTGAACCCCTTTTGTTATTTTCTCCCTCTCTTCAACTGAGGTTGACAAACCCAAGAAGGAGCACAAATGAGCCACCTCATGTCCAGTGTCCTAAGTAAGACGCATGGAAAATACACATTAAACATATATATCAATTTCATGCTTCATTAAAAGGTCACTTTATGAACAGAACTACTTACTTCCACCAAATCCTCATAGAACATGTACAGTAAGTTAGAATAAGTCAGTTTTTTCTCCCACCATCCATTGACATGGTCGAACCAAGAACCAAAACCTTCTAAAGGGAATATTAAAACAATTTTTAGTGGTAACTTTCTTGCACATAAAAGAGAACTTTAATATTTTTACTCTCCCAATGATTTTGTAGTTATAACCTGTTATCGTAATAAATATAAATATGTAAATATATTTATAGTTTTAAAATGGTTCTTTATTTAGACAATTTAATTGAATTACTTTACAAAATATTTTACTTACTCTTTCCTTCTATAAATGTCTGTAAGAAGGTGTTCCAGTCTCCTGGTTCAGGTTCTCCCATGTTCATTCGATCAAAATGAAAATAGGAAACGGCATTGTCTTTTGCATTCCGTGCTACATACACAATCTGAATGAGTGGACAGAAATATTATGAGTATAGGGACCAATTCTCACTATTAACTAGTTGCTTATTAGCATGCCTATTATTAACATATTGGCTGTTTATTAGTACTTATAAAGTAGTACATATTCTGCATGACCATATTCTACATCCCTAATCCTACCCAATACCTAAACTTAACAACTTACTAACTATTAATAAGCAGCCAATTAGTTTATTGAGGCAAAAGTGTAGAATATGATACAAATAATTTTCATATTCATCAAACCATTCAGTGAGCCCTTGTGCTCTGTGCCTGAGGGCATTGTCATCCTGGAAAAGATTACTTCCATCAGGATAGAAATGTTTCATAGGATAAAGTTGATTACTCAAAACAACATTGTAGTGATTTGAAGGGGACAAATGGGCAAGCCACAGCAGAAAATGCACAGGGCAACTCGATCTCCTGGAGTTTCCTTTAATTTGTCACCCGCATATATATGAATACTGCTTAGTTAAAAAAGCATAGTCAGGGACCACATCAAACACTGAGAGGCATGAAAGCCTAAACACAATCATCAAAAGTGTTCCTTATGTTTCGAAGAGTTTGACATCATCCTATGAGAGATTCATTACATGTTGCCAGCTACATCACATCACGGAGTGAGAGAAGCCCCATATACTTTACCCTTGAGTTTTGCTCCCAGAAGGACTTGGGCACAAGCTGAACAGGTAAATGAGTTTTGATGAGGCGAGGAGAAGTGGGCAGATTATCAGCCAGTTCTGTCCCTGAAAGTCAAAAATATGGCTCTAAATTAATAGTGTCCTAGTTGTCATTGTGGTTAGATCAAGACATACAGTGAAAAAACAATATTTGAAGCATTCATACTGTTTATAACTTATTTAATGTCACTTAAGAGTACTGGCTAGTGGCTCCTACAATTCAGTAAAAAGCCTCACCATTCTAATTTGTTTATAATGATAATGGACAGTACCTCACAGAAACTACATTAAGACACCAACTCTTGTTTGCACTTATACTAAAGACTCACTGCTGCAAAAGCAATATAAAGAATGAACAAAACTATGCAGGGTATAAGGAATCACAATCCAGATTACATCATGCATATCAGAAATAAAACTACAGACACTTTTGTAGCTTACTGTATTTACCCCTAAAAGGGTGCATACTGTTCCTTAAAGGTATATTAGTACCTTTTGAAAGGGTACTTCTCTTTGACAGCTTTTGTACCTTTTTCTGAGTCTTCATACTTCATACTTAAGTCTTTTGAGCCAATGGACTACTTAAACTAAAAACACTATGATCTTCATTACTTCTGTTTACAAACATTGTGGTTCGCTTGTTTTCCAGTTATTCATGTTTTCAATGTGCTGTCACCCAGTTCAGGTCAGAAGTGTTAAGATTCATTTGATGTTTAACATTGTTAAATAACTTTAACTCAAGTAAAATAGAATAAGAATAAGCCTAGAATAAGAGCACCAAATTACACACACACATGCACACACCGGTTTCTATGTTTATGGGGACATATTTTTGTCATATTAGATGTATGTAATATCTGCTAAACCCTAAACCTACCACTCACAGAAAACATTGCATTTTTGGATTTAAAAAAAAAAAAACTTTTAGTATGATTTGTAAGATGTTTTCCTCATGGGGACAAAAAATGTCCACACAAGGTAAAAAGTGACTGGTATTTCTATCCTTGTGGGGACATTTGGTCCCCATAATGCAGAGCAGGTGCTGGATTGCTGCAGGTTTATGGAAAAATACAGTACATGAATGTTTTTACCAGAAACAACTTTGTTGAGCTATACTATGTGGAATGTGGAACAAGTTGTGCAGGTAGTCAATTAGATTTTGAATGCAATTTGTAAAAAAAAAAAATGTGCAGTGCTGCAAATTTGTATATTTAGTTTACATTAAATGCAGCAACACCTGCACAGTAAAGCCAGCAGAGGACCTCAGTGTGCGCTTCACATATCTCTGAAGAAATACAGAGAACTGGCTCTGATTAGTAAAAAATGCAGTGGCATTTTACTTTTGCAGAGTACAAAGCAGACAGTTTAAATCAATCTGTCACAGTAGGCTACATAAATGAACAGAACATGTGGAACACACAATCCATGCAGGACTTTAAAATGCAGAATGTGGAAGACATTAAAAATAAAATGATAAAACAATGATTTAAAAAATAAAAACACAAAAAAACACATTAAAAACACACAAAATACATTAATTAATTCAGTGAAATCTTATTATACTGTGGTCTCTGACCTGATGGTATCACTTTAAAACATGACTCCAGGAATGGCACTCTCGTATAGATAGGCTGGGAAGTCTGGCGCTCTGGAGCACCGTTACCAAAGTACAGAAGGTCTAGAATATATGACACCCAGGTGGTACCTAGAAAATCAGTGAAGAGTAGAAAATATTGCATGCTTCAGACTCTTTCCTTAGAAACATAGCAAGATACATATAACAAGATATGAAATTATATATTATTTTCATTGGTCATACGCCAAGGTGCACTACATCTATTTCGGGATAGCGCTATTCCTCATCTTGGTTGCACAGTGATCGCTCAATGTAGGCTAAATGTCCACATAATCAGCTATACACTTTCCCCCACCCCCATCGTTTGCACAATGCCTGATGACTATGACGCCTCTGAATCAGCACTCCCCTTCTTCTCCTAAACCACAGCTTTCTGACACAAGAAAAACTCTTATTTAGTGTTCATGCACTTTCCAGCCCAGTCACTGTATAGTAATAAGAATAAAGTAATATAAGTAAAAACAGTTTGCAAGAAACATGCTATATACACACAAAAAGACACGAAGAGAGAGTGAGAGAGACAGAGAGAGAGTTTAAATAGGTTTAAACTTTAAATATATATGCATGTACTATATGTATATGTATGGCTTTTATAAGCTGGGCAACAGTTCTTTTAACCCTAACTGATGCAAAAGTGATATATTCCTTTGATGGCAAATATATTCCTTTTTTTTTTTTGGCAGCCATTACTCCACTCTCTAGTGAAATCATCATTTGAATGTGCTGATTTAAAAGTAGTAAGCATCATTATTTTTTATTTTTTTATTTTTTTATCACAGTTGAAAGTGTTTGCACTGGCCTAATATTTTTGTGAAAACTTTTTTTCAGGATTCTTTGATGAACAGAAAGTACAAAATAACAGCATTTAAAATAGAGACCTTTTGTAACATTATGTCTTTGATGTCACTTTTGATCAATTTAATTGGTCTTTCCCAAACTGTTGAACTCTAGCTGAACCCTAGTGGTCACATTGTAAGCCTGTAAAATTTCATGCAGTGCCCTCACCTGCTTTGGGGTAAGTAGCGATTAGAATGTCATCAGGTCTTGCTTGAAAGTTTTTCACCTTTTCCCAGTTGTCAGTGAAGTAGTGGATCATAGAAACACCCTCAAAATCAATCAGCTCTGGTCGGCTAGGTAGTTTCATCTGTAGCATTGAAAAGTGTTTTATTTAAAGTGTTTAATGCTGAAGCATCACTGAATGATCATTAGAGAATCAGAGAAAAAAAATTCATGGAGGATAAAAAAAAGCATGCCTTTTGTCATAATTTTTATAAAGAAAATTTATTTCATAATACTCCTGTTTCTAATGTTGAATAATGGAGAGACTAAAACTTACTTTACAGTACTGTAAGTACAGTACTTTATATAAGGCCTTTAAACACTGCAATCATGTGATTTTCTGTGTTTCCAAATCATTATGTAGTCTATAATTTGTAACTTGCCAATCTTTATTCCCAAAGTTTTACACCCAGTGATGAATAAAATAGCTTTTGATTTATTAATCAGAGTAGGTGTTTCTTCAACTATATCTATATTTGAAGAAGAAATGTATTTACTCACTGAAGACAAGTCTGGGATTTCCATTATGTTGAAACAGTGTTGTTCCTGTAAATTTTCTGCTCTTCTAAAATGTTTTTTGCAACCCTTCCGTGTCAAATTATATTCTATGCTGTCACGCTATGCTTATCCTCTTTCTCTCTGTACTTTGCACTCAACCGGTTATGTAAGTTTAGACTTCCCTCTATTCACTTATCCACAATCATAATGACAGATGAAATTTGAGTTCTCCTCCTACTCTCTCTCTCTCTCTCTCTCTCTCTCTCTCTCTCTTTCACTTCCGGTGCGACTGAGTGTGAGTGGACGGCGTGTTTGCAAGTGTGGGGCTGAGTGCTGCTTTTCTTTTCTTTATTCTTTTTCGTTTGCTTCATTTGCTGGTTTAGTTTTTGGTTGGTGTGGGCCACGTGCTTTCCGTTTTGTGAAAGTATGTCGGCCCCACGCCAACAGGTTTTGGTTTCGCTCACGCGGCGTCATGCAGTAAAGATAGCGGCCGCGGTGAGTGTGGAGGAGTGTTGCCTGGCCATAGGGATTATTGTGGGGCATGGGAGTGTGTTATCCGCGTCTAGGATGAATGGCGCGGTGGTGGTTTTTCTTGACTCCATTGACAAAGCCAATGAGTTAGTTGAACATGGGGTGGTTATTGGTAATGAATTTGTTCCTGTTCTTCCTCTGGCGTTACCGGCTAAGAGAGTTACTTTGTCTAATGTCCCATTTCAAGCCTATTTCATATGATATTGATGAGATTGTTAAAGGAAGGCCTTTAAAGGTTAGGGCATGTTTTGAAAATTATGTGTTTATTTTTGTGTGTGTTTATGCTCCTACTGCACCATTGGAAAGAATGTTGTTTTTGGATACTTTGTGTATGTCTCTGCAAAACTGCTGTTCTGAAGATTTTTTGTTTCTTGGTGGTGATTTTAATTGTACTGAATTAAACTTGGACAGGAATCATATGGAGCCGCATTTGGCTTCTCGTAAACGTCTTATTCACATTATTAAGAAATATGAATTATGTGATGTCTGGAGACTTTTTAATAAAAACGTAAGGCAATATACTTGGGTACATTCACGTGACAAGGTTATGTCACTAGCTAGATTGGACAGATTTTATTGTTTTAAGTATCACTTGAGCATTTTTAGTAAATGTTATATTACGCCAGTTGGGTTTACAGACCATAGTATGGTGCATTGCACGTTTATTGTAAGTGCAGTTAAACCAAAGAGTGCATATTGGCATTTCAATAGTAATTTATTACAGGATGGTTTTTTTAAAGAGTCCTTTAAATTTTTTTGGGAAGCTTATAGGAAAACAAAGTCTTCTTTTCTCTCAATACAACAGTGGTGGGATGTGGGTAAGGTTCAAATAAAACAATTTACTCAGCAGTACACTCTCAATGTCACAAAGGAGTTGACTCGTTCATTAGCTTCCTTGGAAAAGGAGATAATTGATCTTCAATTTTTAGCTCACTCTTCTGGTGACATTTGTGCTTTAGAAGCCTGTTCAAAGAAGAAAGCCCAAATGACTGACCTACTTGGGTACAAAACACAGGGTGCGTTGGTCCGTTCGCGTTTCCAAAGAATAGATCAGATGGATGCACCGTCCAAATATTTTTTTAATTTAGAAAAAAAGAATGGGCAGTGTCGTCTAATTCATGCACTGCGCTCTGAGAGTGGAGTGCTTTTGTCTGACCCTACTGACATTCGGCAAAGAGCAGTTCTCTTTTACCAGGATTTGCTCTCTATCTCTCTCTTTTCCCTCTCACACAAACACATGTTGGGTTTTTCTCCATAGACATAATGATCCTTATACTGTGCAAACTTTATTTTCTCTCTTCTAACCCCCTTCTTGCATTTTCAAAAAAAAAGAAAAGAAAAAAAAAGATGATTTATATTTTTCATATTTTATATTTTTGGGGACTTTCCATTGATTTCTATTGTTATTATACTGAGCTAAGGATATTATTTATATCCTAATGTTCTCTTTCCTGCCTAGAAAAATGTGCTCTTTGAGAAATTGCTTTAGTTTCTCTTTTGTAAGTTTTTCCGCTTTGGATAAAAGCATCTACTAAAAGCATAAATGTAAATGTAAAAAATTGTAATTTTATGACAATCAGTAAAGTATTACAAAAAGTACTACAAAAGACACTTTACAGGGCTTGAGGGGCCCTTCAAATACCAGTTTTGGTTGTTACAGGAAGTTAGTGTTGATCTCATAGGATCAGTGTGTTTTTCTTTAAGACTCCAGGAAGTGAATAGGCATTTCCCCCAGTGGTTCCAGATTAGTTCCAGCTATGCTGTGTTTTTATGCTGAAACTATGCAGGAATCTTAGAAACAGGGACATGCAGTGAGTTCTTCAGGGGCAGGAGCTGCAAAAGGGCAAGTTAACAACAGTAGATGATTATTGCAGTGGAGATAAGGTAATAATTGATGACATACCCTTCAGGTGGTGGAGTGAAGGTGACGGGATGTGATGAAGGATCTGGAATGCACACACCTCACAGTGGGACAGATAGGAGAGAGTTCAATGTATAATAGGAGTATAGTAGGAAATTGCAGGAGAGCTCGCTGGAGCAATATCACAAGATTCACAGGGAAATCCACTCCTATTCTATAGTTTCTATTCTATAACTTGTTAAATAATCTAAACCAAAAACATGTATGTTAGACCCTATTCCATCTAAGCTACTAAAGGAGGTGCTTCCAGAAGTCATAGATCCTCTTCTGAATATTATTAATTCGTCATTGTCATTAGAATATGTCCCAAAAACCTTCAAACTGGCTGTTATTAAGCCTCTCATTAAAAGCAACACAACTTGACCCTAACAAATTAATTAATTACAGACCTATCTCAAATCTCCCTTTCCTGTCAAAGATACTAGAAAAGGTAGTATCATCACAACTATGTTCTTTTTTAGAGAAAAATTATATCTCTGAGGATTTCCAGTCAGGATTTAGACAGTATCATAGTACTGAGACTGCACTCATTAGAGTTACAAATGACCTGCTCTTGTCATCCGATCGTGGCTGTATCTCTCTATTAGTGCTACTGGATCTTAGCAACGCATTTGACACTATCAACCACAACATTCTTTTGAACAGACTAGAAAATTATGTTTGCATTCTAGGAAGTGCATTGGCATGGTTCAAATCGTACTTATCTGACCGCCATCAATTCGTGGCAGTGAATGAAGAGGTATCATACCAATCACAAGTGCAGTATGGAGTACCCCAAGGCTCAGTACTAGGACAGTTACTTATCATGCTTTACATGTTACCCTTGGGAGATATCATCAGGAAACATGGTGTTAGCTCTCACTGTTATGCTGATGATACTCAGCTCTATATTTCTTCGCAGCCCGGCGAAACATACCAATTTGAAAAACTAGCGGAATGCATAGTCGATATAAAAAACTGGATGATGAGTAATTTCTTACTGCTAAATTCTGAAAAAACAGAGGTGTTAATTATAGGACCTAAAAACTCAGCATATAATAACCTAGAACACTCTCTAAAACTTGATGGCTGCTCTGTCAATTCTTCGTCATCAGTTAGGAACCTAGGTGTGCTATTTGATAGCAATCTTTTGTTAGAAAGCCACGTTTCTAGCATTTGTAAAACTACATTTTTCCATCTCAAAAATATATCCAAATTACGACCTATTCTCTCAATGACTAGTAATTTCTTACTGCTAAATTCTGAAAAAAAAAAAAAAACAGGTGTTAATTATTGGACCAAAAACTTCTGCATGTAATGACCTAGAACACTGCTCTGTAAATTCTTTGTCATCAGTTAGGAACCTAGGTGTGCTATTTGATAGCAATCTTTCCTTTGAAAAACATGTTTCTAGCATTTGTAAAACTGCATTTTTCCATCTTAAAATGTATCTAAATTACGACCTATGCTCGGGGAGTATCATCCTCAGGAAAGGTTGAGAGCAGCACATCTAATTCTTCGATAAACAACTATAAAATGGATTTTAAGAAGGTGGGTAATAGTGGCTGAATGTGATTCAAAGGAGCTGTTGATACTCAGAGATGGTAAAGGATTACATTTCCAATCATTAGAGATAAGCAGACCAGTACCTCCACCTCTTCCAGTCAGACGGGGGGAGTGGGAAAAAGAGAAATTATTTGAGAGTGCTGCAGGTGTAGCATTGTCCTCTGGTTTGATCTCCGTCTCTGTCAGGGCCATGAGGTTTAGTCTTGAATGACTTGTAATAGAAGTAATAAAATCTGCTTTGTTTACAGCAGACTGGCAATTCCAGAGACCAATAGAAAAAGAAAGTAGTGTATTACTAGACATAGGCAAAGTGCACAGGTTGTTAGGATTGCGCTGCCTACAATGCATGGTTTGCGAGTGGTAGTGATAGTAGGGATCTGGAAACACATAGTAAGAATTGGTTATAAAAACTGAAAACAGAAGGGGAACAAGTAGTAGGAAAGAGAATGATTCAGAAGCGATACTTATGTGCCTAGCCGGTGTCCCTGCTCAGTAGAGTCGAACGGTAGAGTCGATGGTCTTTACACTCTTCGGTCTTCACACGAGGAGAGTGAAAACAACAATGACATCACATGCCCAAAGTCTTTCAGGTTTGACAATTTTTTGTCAGTTACTGAAGGTCACTCAGGATATGATGAAGACATAGTGTTTCACACCATCACCAGTGTTGAGTAAATTGTGTAATTATTTTGTTTCATACATGGATTAATTGCTTGAGAGGTGCTTTTTCAGTAGCATGGTTTGTAAATTTATTTACATGACATTTATATGTTCATTCTATGTTGTGAATGTAGAAAGGAAAATTTAAAAGAGAAAAAAAATAGGGAGAATCAATACATTATACATGATTTACTGCCATTGTGTGAATAGTGTATAATCATGTAATCCATAAAAAAGTAACTGTAATCTGATAACAAGCATTATAGAATGTAATATACTTTAATTACGAGTACTTGATTTAATAAACTACACTGACAGCTGCAATTAGATCCTGCCTCAACGACTTTTCCTTGTTACTGCAACCACCTGCTTATACTTTCTAGGATTCAGCATTCCTTTTGAGAAGCATGCAATAAAGACACACTGTCCACAGTTTAGCTGGTTAGTGAACATGTTTCAGAGTTCGTTTGAAAAGGTACAGTGAACTAATGTCATTCGACTGAGAAATGTAGTAAAGTTAGTAGTTTTTTGTTAATATGGGATGCACTGGGCATAACGATCACCAGTTAACTGACATAAAAATCAAATTTGTCTGCAGGTAGGGAAACAGACTGGATGGATGACCAGTTCATCACAAGACTAACACACACATTCCACTCGCACTCACACTTAT